GAAGAAAGTTTTTTGCAGCATATATCTTTTTTTTTTTTGTAGAAAGCTTTTTTGAACCAAAATTGTTTTTTAAAAACATTTGTATGCAATTTTTTTTGCGATCTCTTTGATTGCTGTAATTCTTTGGCTCCTCTTTCCTCTTGTTAAAGAAGAAAAGACGTTTAATTCAGAAAATCTGCTTCTGCCTATAAAATGAATGATCGATTGCTTTACAGTTGTATTTTTGGTCATTTTGACTAACTGTAAACAATTGGTTTTGTTTGCAACCAAAAAGCATCTTTAAAGGGAGATTGCTGCAGAGTATTGTTGTGCTTAGGAGGAGCGGTTATTCAGCAGTGAAAAGTTGAAGGAATTTTTATGAAGTTTCGTTCAGTCAAATGACAGTGTGATTACGGATTTAAAAGATACTGACTAGTCGACGGTCAGTTAAATGAGCCGTTGGTGATTTCAGCAAATGGTGGCAAAAATGGTGCATCAGCCGGCGGGCATCACTTGGTAAATGGTCGTAGTGGAGTTAGCAACAAGCCGAACAGTGGTTGGTCAGCAGTAAATAACGAATTGAAAAGTCGACAAAAAATTGCTAAGGTTTGTTTGTTGTTGCAATATCTGTATAAATTTGATTCAATTTTGATCACCCTGACAATTTTGATCATCATCCTTCAATTCTCAAGCATCTCTCTCGGCTTACGGGTTTAAATTGCTGCCTCTTTGATTTTCTTTTTCTATTAATTCTTTGGTCTTCTTTGGGAGTACTATAGTATTAGTTAAATTTCTACCTTTGAATCTTTTTTTTTATTATACTTTTTAGATTACAATTTTTGTATCACTTCAATGGCACCAAATTATGTTAATTTAATTGTTTATTTTAGAGGAACTTTCTTTTATTTTTTTTTACGATTTTTTCAAAGGCTTTCGTTTGATTGCTTTAACTACAAGTGCTCGTTTTTTTGACAGTTTAGTGATTTTTATGTCTTTTTTTACGTTTTTAATTACCACGTCAGAGGTCATTGTTTTCTCTTTGTGTTATATGCAGTGATGTGTTGTCATCCCTGCAGTTTATTCTTGGAATTTCAGGCTTAACGTTGAATTTTTTTCATGAGCTTTATTTATTTATTCTCTTGCTTCACTAAACCTCATTGTGTAACCTCATTTTCAAATTTTGTCAGGGTGATTTTTAATGACTTATCAGCTGATAATTAATGGTCACTTAAACCGGTACTTTGCGATTTTAACTGTTTTACATATTTTAAAACTGTCTAGTTTTTTTGGTTACTTCGGTTCAATGGTTCAGTATAACTGCAACGAGCAGTGGTCTTTTATTGCGCGTGAAAAGACGGTGACAGACCGATCCAGTTTACCTGTTCTGGAAACTTTTTTGCTTTTTTTATTTTTGAGAGTAGACGAGAGATCTTGTCTTCATTTGCCATATAATTTTGTTTTCGTTGTCGTTGCTCTTGCTGCTGCTGCTGCTGCTGCTGCTG